AGTAATGGGTCACAAATATAAAATATCAACTCACCACGAGCCTTGGTAATTACAGTGAGAGCAGATATTCTAAATGAAGCTTGTTTATAATGAGAGCAGTAGTCAGGCAGTCACTCTTGAATGTAGGTCAGCTAGACGAAGGCAGACATATGTAACGGTAGGCACAACTCCAGTGATATGAAAAGTCCCGTGTAATTCCGTGTGTTAGTCCCCGTGTGTGTCAACACAACAACCAGCCTTTATATATACATAAAGGTCTAGAACATTCTTTATCCACTGAAAACTTTATGGAAATCTGTGGAACCAACGACCGATCAAAAAATCAAATATAGCCAAGGGAGGCAACTCTGGAGCGCTATCATAAAGGCGTACCGCTAAAAATAATATTCCCATTGACCATATATGGTGCGAAATGTGACCCACACCCGCACTCAAAACTTTAAACATTGTGACCCATAAGAGCTATGACCTAACCAATGATTTTACAAATCACAAAAACACACTCTTGTAACAACAGCATGGGCATCGATCTACGCAACTGGGAACCGATGACATGTGTCAACCAAGTCAGCGAAACTGACCATCCGATCCCGTTAGTCGCCTCTTACGACAAGCATTGGTTATTGAAGATCAATTCTAACCCGCATCTTACTAATCTAAGCTGCCAATAATAAAATATTTATCTATTTACAAACTATTCATCAAAATTTCAATTCTAGTTCAATGAAATGAAAATTAACAGTACTAAAAAGATTCTTAACAGTTTTTACATTGAAATACTTATCCCTTGTGATGGAAAAATAATAAATATGAATTCGGTATCTGTAAACCAATACCTTAATTACAAATATACTTGTTTCCGGAATAGTCGCAATAGTCGAAGAACTACTGATCCTTTAGTACGATCGGAATCATGTGTTAAAATACCATAGTATCTAAACAACACGTCGTTTCAATTTATGCAATTTATAACTACCTAGAAACACAGCATGTTAGAGGAGTTACATGAGTTTGGTTTGAAAGATAAGTTTTGGATGCCAATTTCTTCTTTATTGTATACACAACGTTTCTGGGTTGTTCCTTGCCCCTTCGTCAGGTGAATAAAGGGGCAAGGAAAAACCCGGAAACGTTGTGTATACAATAAAGAAGAAGTTGACATCCACAATATTTTGTTGAATACCAACTTCTATGCCATCTCAAGAACCTTATGAGAGGTAATTTGTTATCACAGGTTTTGACAAGAGATTTCCATTCCGAGTAGGGTTAACCCTGTCTGATCATTACAACAGGATCAGGGTGTTCCACAAGGCAGCTCGTTGTCTGTCACATTATTTAGCATTTAAATAAATAGTCTTTGACAGGTTTCAACTGATGGATCAATTTTCGTTGATGATTTAAATGTTTCTTATCCAGCATCGTGTGTGACGATCAATGTTCATTACTGTCTTTATCGCTGCTCTTATATTGTATTAAATTTGAATCTTGTACTGCGTCTCTATTTCGTACTGCCATAGTGGTACCTTTGCTCTTTATTTGTGAACTTTGTTTTAGAATACACCCGTGAAGGTCCGGGTTAGAATTCGTCTTCAGTAACCAATGCTTGTAAGAGGCGACTAACGGGATCGGGTGGTCAGGCTTGCTGACTTGGTTGACACATGTCATCGAACCCCACCGTGCAGATCGATGCTCATACTGTTGATCACTGGATTGTCTGGTCCAGACTCGATTATTTACAGACCTCCGCTATATAGCTGGAATATTGCTGAGTGCGGCGTAGAACTAAATTCACTTACTCACTCATTTTAGAATAAGTTGTCAGTGAACTTTTACGTGTTGTTAGTTGGTTTCACCCCTAGTGCTTTTACGTTTTTTTTTCGACTTGGGACGCAACCCTAACGGAAAGAAAATGCCAGATAAAAGTGTGAGTAGATCATATACCGATTATACCAATACAGCCTTGCTAATCTCACACGGATGGTCCTTTGGTGACTAGCTTGTTCGAATAATTCCAATCAAGCCAAAAGACCTTGACATGGTCTAACACGAGTATTAACACATGCGTATTCGCGATACGGTTCAAGTTCATATCTCTCCTCCAAACACAATTTCATGGAAATTTTGGCTGACCTTCACTTTACCGTTCCACTTATGTTTGTCTACGATAAGAAACAGCAGCTGGTATGTATGTGTGTTGATAGGGTAGCTTAGATGTGCAAGTCACTGTGTCACTCTACAACGATGAGCTGTATATACCTTCACGGTTTATCTCTGACAAACACATTCTTCAAAGCTTACATATTTCTGCCAAGTGCAAAATATAAATTCAAAATACCAGCACTGACAATTGTGTTTTTCCCGATCCTCCAAACGCCAAAGCAATAAATTATACCTCACCTGAATCACCTGCAGCTGAGTTTTGCGTGTGAGCTGAGTGTTTGAACGCTTTGGACAGTGGTTTGATTATATAAATCGATTGTATTATACTGTAAATGTGAATAGGTCGGTTCCACTTTGAAGTCAGCTTTCCGTATGGAGATTTTGCGTCCGAAATAGATAGTCATATTCAGATAAAAACTAATATGTGTATGCCATAATCAACAATTTGTCAACGACTTAGTTTGTGCCCGCTTCCTGTGTTTTTATAAAAATATTTATTTTTATATGTATAATGGATATCATAGATTTCTGGAATGTGAAGCATATTCAGTGTTTTTGTCATTATCATGTAAATCTATTAACGTAGCTTTAACCAATGTGTTTGTTATTCAGCTTCTAAATGTCACTTGGCAAAGTCCATTGTTAGACTTTTAACAGTCGACACTGCTTTCTTATGAAACGTGTTGTTTCTTTTTGATAACTATTGTGTTGACACAAACCTTCATACTTCTTCATCGATCTATATTGGGTGACGTAGTAGTCCACACAGCCAATATTAAGCGCTACCAAGTGCTGTTTCTACTGCCTTCTAGACACATGACGTTTGTGTGAGGCTTGTCACAGACTATGTATTGATACAAATATGTATTTGATTGACCATACGCAAATGTTCTTTTAGATAGTTGCGATTAACGTGATTTAGTAACAAATGCAGAACTCGTACTTTTGTTTAGCTCACATTAATGTCATTTGGGAATATGTTTCATATTTCTATGATATTAACTTTATGTCAAACTTGAATGTGCCTCGATGTTGAAGAACTTAATTTGGCAAAGGTAATAAGTGACTGACACAACGATAGGCTCTATTGGAAGACTGACTTCCCGGAATTCTCATTCTTCCACTACACGAATATCAAAACTCATGTAGCTTTCAAAACTAGCGTTGGTTTTTCACAACTATTGATTCCTCATCAAAGAGAGACGTATTGTCTTAGCACTATGTATTCATTTATCATGACGTATTTCTCTCGAGGTATTTTTTAATGGCAAGAAATCATAATCACCTTATTAATTGATATCAATAAGGGAAGAACGATTTTGCGATTAAGCCTATTATAATATCAACGCTTGGATGTGTGAACAGGGGAACTAGATCGGAATTAAGACGAAGTACGAGTCCAAACTTCTTTAGCTGGCTATACAATTCACGATAAACAAAGGCCTCAATGACCTGATTTTCCGGCTAAAACATTAATGAGATGAGTGGATTTCCATCTCAACCTGCTCGTGATCGTCCTTTCAACAGCAGCTGGAATGCCGAACTGACTGACCGTATAGATGTTAACATGTGTATGCAGTTAAAGACAACAATGGGCAGAAGAAGAGACAATGGCATTGATGGCAACTTATTGGCAAACACGGCCTTGGGGGTGACCAAGTAAGGTTATAAACACAGATTAATGAGACTGACTGACAAGTCAATATACAATGCAGTGGTGTTGAAGATTAAGAATGGAGATCTGTGACATAAAAAAACAATATGTATTTGCTATATAGTAGATGGCTTTGGAATTAAATATGTATTGGGCAATGGCTCTCCTAAATCAGTCGATATGACAATAATACTTTAACAGTTCATACATGATTATTCAGCATAAACTAACTTTGTGTGACCTTGCAAACTAAGAATTTAGAATTAAAAAATGTTTCAAACGATTTCTGGAACCTCACAAATTCACTTAAATAGAACAAATGCATTTTCGGATTATATGGCGAAATGTTTCTGGGATACATTTTCATCCTTTTCTATATTTTCGTCTTAGGATATATGACTTTTTAAATACAAATTTAAGTAATATAACTTCAAGCAACATTTATAAAAAGAAATCAGTCGAGGAGCACACACAAATTATATGTATAATACGCTTTATGAAACCTGTCTTAAATAAATGATGCAGTTTGGAATGAATCCGTTTACTTACAGTTCCTCGGTGGTCACTAACCAGTCAGCCGAGAGAACTGATGCAACAGTGAGTAAGTGCGTAGTTTTACGCCGCACTCAGCAATATTCCAGCTATATGGCGGCGGTCTGCAAATAATCGAGTCTGGACCAGACAATCCAGTGATCAAAAGCATGAGCATAGATCTGCGCAATTTGGAACCGATGACATGTGCCAACCAAGCCAGCGAGCCTGACCACCGATCCCGTTAGTCGCCTCTTACCACAAGCATGGACTTCTGTAGATCAATATTCTAACCCAGACTGATGCAAGAGTATTCGTCCCTCGCTTTCTTCAGTACTAAAAGCTTATCGATTGAGTGAGTGAATGTTGCTTAACGCCGCATCAGCAATGTTGCAGCAATTCGCAGTGAAACAAGCGTGTCAAGCTCGATCTCAATTGTGCAGAAAAAATGTTCCTTATGCCATGGCTACACCTGCATGATTTCCTTTCATATCCGGTTAAAAAACACAAGTATCGGCACAAAATGTAAGTGGAACTTTGAAGCTTCGTCTCCCTAACAAAACAACAAAGAGATGATAAACTTCACACCAACCTTTATTTAGTCAAATCAAGTTCTGTTATTTATATTTAGTCAAATCAAGTTCTGTAAGAATTGTTATCATTTATTGTCAGATTGGACAAGTTTGGCAGTGACAAGGGCTACGGAAGTCACATGTCCGTTCCCGTCCTTGTTGGAGAAGTTAACTTGGACCGTGATAGAAGTGGAGTTCAGCAAGGTGGAAGCGACAACACACTCCCATACATCCATGTAGTTGAAGATTTTACTGTTATTTTTATCTGAGTCAAACAGCTTGTAAAAGAAGTTAATAGGTTCGTTGTTGAAGATAACAGATGACAGACTGTTTGTTTGATTCATTGGAAGACTTGTCGAGATTCGCAGTCTTGCGCTATAGAATTGCTCTTTTGGCAGTGGTACGGTTGTCATAGCGGTGCCGTTCGTGATGGGAATTATAATATCACTGCCGTAGTACGTAGTTTCATTGAATGTGACTTTAGGTAATTGATCTGAGGTCGTCTTAAATGTATAGCGACAGGTCGCTTCAGGTAGCAGTTTAACAGTTCCCCCAGTGTTACTGATGTCAAACGGTTCATTCAAAGTGATGACTGGATACCAGTCGTCCTTGATGGTGATGCAGGTAGCTTCGCCAGTGGTTGGTGTTATCCAATCGTCTTGAAAAATTAGCTTGACTGTCTGTGATTGTGTGGAATAGCTGTGTAAAAGAACGACGGTTTCGTTACGCGAGGAACTTGACAGTACTAATGGTGACACAGTTCGTTCCTGTCCGTCACACTGGCTGGCAGTTCTGATGAAGGAATACTCTGACGTGAAGTTGTACCAAAATGTGAAGACATCGGCAATCCGTGCGGCCTTTCCTTGGCGGGTGAAAAGTGACCAGTTAAACCCATCAGATCCGCGGTGTTGTTTAGAGGGTAAAAGAAACACCACCGTTCTGTCAATGTATTCTCTGAGACCAAGTTGGGTGAATCTGTGCGCATTTGCTTGGTATATTGTTGAAAAGTCTACAATGCCAGATGGAGCACTTTTGCTAATTCCTGATACTCCCCCGCGACCATATTCACTGATAATAAGAGGCATAATCCTTCCCGTCTTTTGATGGATATAGTTTTCAATCAGGTCGACAAATGCTACCAGACGTGCTTCATTTATGCCAGTAAACTGGTGGGACTTGCCCGTAACATTAAGGGAGTTGTAAGAATGAAACGAAAACACGTCTAAACGGTCTAGAGTGATGTCCATGAATGCTACCAGTTTTGTCCAGAACGAAAAGTCTTTCCTATCGACCACTGTATTATATCCTGTAATTGTCGGACCAACAACTTTGATGTTAAACCTGGAATGGAGTTTATCGGCAACTGATTTGTGGAAGTTGGCGACAGTGTTGGTGAAATTCATGATGTCCCCTTTAACATCTGGTTCATTGACGACCTCGAAGTATGGCGGTATCTGACCGTTTGTGTAGTCATACACTCCTTGCACCATCAATGTTATAAACTCTGAAGCAGCATCGATGCTGTTGGGGAATTGACCCTTATGGTCGGACTGGTTCATCCAGGTCGGCCAGTTATGAGCTAAAATCAAAAAACAAAATGGAGCATGAGTGAGTGAGTGAGTTAAGATTTTAAGTCACATCGGCAATATAGAGGTATAGATTTATAATGATTAAAAATTAAATTATAAACACCTGTCAACAAGGACAATTAAACTACTAGATTATCACGGATATATATTTAAAACTAGTAATTAAATCTAAAATTGTTTAATTATAGAGGACGATACAATATAAAAACGGACTATAGATCGCCAACAACTGAAGGTAGATCACCATACTAGGGACCATGGGGACTTACAGTACCTTTGCTACCTGCGTGGACCCTAGTTGGATTTACATCATCTCTTCAGCCGCTGGCGATTGTAAGAATGTCAGCCAAAATTCAAATAACAAGAATACTACGTTTAAAAAACCTGGTAAGTTTAAATTGACTTAGAATTGTTTTGGGACTTATACGTACCAAAATGGAGCATGAACTATATATACCTTCCTATTAGAATGTACACATGTTTTTCAATTTTGGAGACAAGACTTCTCTTTGTCTTGAAGAAGATACAGGATGGTTATCTTTTGTGGGAATATATTTAATTGCTTCTATTCACTTCAGTTGCCATCAAAGCAGCCTCAAGGGAATCAGTCTGCATAAACATGACACCAACAGGTACGATACGAGTACACCTCAGCCAGTTTTCGACTACAGATTGCCAAAGGATCAGGATCGAAATTTAAAATCATTACATGTTATATTTCATTAACACGTCACCTCACATACGTCACCTCTTCACACAGCTGCAATACTGATGAGTGCAGCAACACAATATTACGGTTGCTTGTCTATCCAACGCCTTACCTCTTTGATTCAAAGAGGGTAGCCTAGTGGTTTAAGCGTTCGCTCGTCACCCCGAAGGCCCGTGTTCGATTCCCCACATGGGTACAATGTGTGAAGCCCAAATTCAGGTGTCCCCCGTCGTGATATTGCTGGAATATTGCTAAAAGCGGCTTAAAACTCTTCCAATTTGTTAAAACTTGTTTTCATATTATTATTGTGGAAGACATAGAAATATTAATTCCCTGAGTCATGTTAACAATCTAGTGGTAGCTCTAGTTTCTGAAATCTCTTACCTCTCGCCATCATGATCATATCATTCTCATAACCATGGTTAATGTTAGCCAGGTACATAGAAAACATTTCCTGTTGCCTGCTGACGTTCTTCAGGTAGTTGGGATCTGGGTAGCCGCTGTGGTGTGCGTCCTCTGGCCACTAAAATAGACTTTCACACATGTACACATCTTGCAACCACTGTTAACTTTAGCAAGCTGTTGAATCCTGTTATTGTAGCCGCTATGGTGTACGTCGTCTTGACACCAGAATCATTTAGCTATTTGCATAGTATCAGTTTATTGCTTCTTTGACAGATTTTGTCAGTGCGAAAATATGCAGCCACAATACCGTCCAGCTGTGGCTGTGTCCATTGTGACGGACAATTTTATTTTTGATATACATGTTGTAATTGATCACTTATTTACGACATTGTATGGTGTATAACAGGAAAAGTTCCATTAAATAGTGGTTCACTTGTCCATGTTTAAACGTAAGAGGCGACTAACGGGATCGGGTGGTCAGGCTCGCTGACTTGGTTGACACATGTCATCGGTTTCCAACTGCGCAGATCGATGCTCATGCTGTTGATCACTGACTTGTCTGGTCCAGACTCGATTATTTACAGACCGCCGCCAGATAGCTGGAATTTGGCTGAGTGAGGCGTTAAACTAAAGTCACTCACTCCATGTTTAAACTATTCACAAAAAAGTATACATGGTGGCCTTCTCCATATCAGACTGGAGTAATTTCTGTGCACGTGTCTGTAGTTACACGACCAAGGGCCATCCAGTAATATGTGTCCGTTAAGTAAAGTATTAGATTGTGCCAATAACCGTAGCTTGGACATCATACTTTGACGTCATAATCTTCTTAAAGCTATAACTAGACACTAATGTCTGTTACAATCAAGTTTCTTACACTTTTTAGAACAAATACATATAAATTACAAAGACCAAAAACACCCCACAACAACAAAGAAAAAAGAGAATACAACTGAATAGAAAATCTCACGTTTGGGAAGAGTCGATTGCCATAATCTGGGTGTATCCAACGCCCGCTGTCAGTCCCAAGGCTCCGACAGTTTGGAATAAGGGATTCCCGTTCCAGGCCATTATGCTTGTTCCACCTGTTACTCTCGTAACGAACACTACTTCCCTGTGCCAGCCACTGAGGGTAGATCGTTACAGTTGTGTCACTGTAAACACTGTATATTGTCAGGCACAGGGTGAGAAAGACCAGTGTTAAGTTCATTGTTGCAGGAATGTTATGGACCCTCACAAAGAAATATAGTGCATTTATGGTAAGGATTCGAGGAAATTATCTTTGACCTTGACGTTCTTGAGATGTTTGCACATGATAAGAACATGAAATGTAGATCATGATATGAGAACATGCATGTAGGTGTGTTGATAGGATAGTCTTCAGGTAAGTGCATGTCACTCTTACTCAGCAAACAATACATACTGGCCTTGTTTTCAAAATATATGCACTTTAAATATAATGATTTACAGTACGTGATGATGAGTCTTTTTCATTATGTTTCAAAGATCCGTGGGTTAGTTGAAAGACTTTTATTGTACAACGACGGAGTACGACCTTATAGACAATATATATCACAGGATTGTCTGGCCAGATTTGAACATTTAGAGATAGCAGTGATTTTGATGGACTCTTGCTGAGAGTGGCGTTAAATACCACAGATACAAAGCCTCCAACCTAATTCCAGTGAAGTGAAGATTATTATAAATGTCTCCATGTTACGGAGCAGAGACCCTATACTAGGTCGGTCATATCCATGATCCTGCAATACAGTATTTGGAAATAAACGAAAACACAAACACCATTTGATAATAAAAGTGTTTTAAAGGTAAGTCGTTTTCCGGGAGATATCTTGCAGACATCAGACATACTTCGTGACGTCTATCATAGATCTGAAAAGTTTTAGAATTACGAATCATTCATGAGTCCTACTAATATTACATTTTCTCCGTTCATCTATTCGAATGTTGTGTGAGGGCTTCTTCTATGGCTTGTTTGTTTGGCGCTTTGGTAAGCAGTTTTGCATTTATCACACGTAAGTCTGTTCCCTGGTTTTGATCAGGCAACAAAAGTGACCTTTACAGTTAATCAAATTATGTAAAGCTTATGTTACTGTGTCCTGTTCTAACTTGGATCCAGATTGGATTGAACCGTAGTATTGGTGTTCTTTTAAATTTCGGCTAAAGTTTTCCTACAATCGCCAGCGGCTGAAGGGATGGTGTAAATCCAACTAGGGTCCATGTAGGTAGCAAAGGCACTGTAAGTCCCCTTTGTCACTAGTATGGTGATATACCTTCAGTTGCTGGCGATCTATAGCCCGTTTTTATACTGTATTGTCCTAATTTGAATTCCAATTTTAGAGAGAAATGTTTTATTCCTTGATACTGTGATTTTCTAGTTGGTCTTACTGACCTTCGATCACAGGTTTATAATTTACTTGTACTTATGGTGAATTCTAAACTTGTTTTAGTCATGATATGGCTGAAATACTGCCGATGTCACTGTAAATCTTAACTCACTCACTCACTCACTCACCCAAGTGGGATTTAAGTCTAGAAGTATCAATACTGAATTATGGAAACATAAGTTCTTTTAACCTAGCAGAGTATCACAAAATATACCTTTGTCACTAGCCATTTTGCTTTGCATCGGGGACCCGTAAAGGCCCGGGTTAGAATTGGTCTTCAGTAACCCATGCTTGTCAAAAGAGGCGACTAACGGGATTGGATGGTCAGGCTCGCCCACTTGGTTGACACATGTCATCGTATCCCAGCTGAATAGATTGATGTTCATGCTGTTGATCACTGAATTGTCTGGTCCAGACTCGAGTATTACAGGCCGTCGCCATATAGCTCGACTGTTGCTGAGTGCTGCGTTAAACAATTAAGCAACCAACCAACTTTGTATCGGGTTTGATGGTAACTCCAATACCTTAGCTTACGATCGTTGTAGGGCTAAGGTCGTTTGCTGAACGTGGACATGGCCAGTTTCCTTGCTCGTTAAGGTATAAGAAAATCCTACTCTGACGAAGGATTCTCCTAATTCGACTTTTATGTAAACGGTAATTCTTCGTTGACAAGGACTTTCACAGCACGTATGGAATATAATTCTGGGATGTGTCTGGGATTGTGTTCAGTATTCTTAGTTTATGCCTGCTTTATGACAGTACAAACTCAATTCAAAGGGAAATGTACATCTGTGCACCTGAGCCCGAACACTATCTACTAAATGATAGATGACTTTGATAGATGTTTGATCTTTGTGGTCATCCCGTTAGTCGCCTCTTACGACAAGGATGGGTTGCTGAAGACCAGTTCCAACCCGGATCTTAACGGGTCACCAATATTATGACTTCAAATCAGATGAGAAACGTTCGCTCTGACAAGGGCTATGATATGCAGGCTAATGCAGGCTGGTATAAGTGTAGCATTCAAACTCATTGAGACACATTGCCAAAATGTATTCAAAGATGTCAAATTTGAGGATTATCAGGACTCGAGCTTGCCTGTGACAAGAGCAACTGAAGAAACATATCCTGTTGTCATGTTGTTTAGGAAGTTGACCTGTACCTGGTTAGCCCCAGTGACAAACATGGAGGTAGGGACTGCAAACTCCCAAACCTCCCAAAAGGTGGTGCAATTAAACTTGTCAGAATCATACAGTTTGTAAAACGAGTTCAGGCGGTGGTTGTTAAAGGTAAGATACGATACGCTGTTTGTAACATTGGTTGGCCAGCTGGTTGAAACTCTCATTCTTGCACTGTAATACTGGCCTTTCGGTAGTTTTATTTCTGTCAAAGCCAAGTTGCCCTTTACTGGTATAAGTGTATCGGCGCCGTAGAATGTGGTTTCGTTGAGTGTGACTCTAGGTAGCTGGTTTGAGGTGGTCTTGAATGTAAAGTGACATGTTGCCTCAGGGGGAAGTTCGAGAATTCCCTTTGTCTTCTGGATGTCGAAGGGTGTATTGAAGGTCATGATCGGATACCAGTTGTCTTTGATGGTGATACAAGTAGCTTGTCCAGTAGTTGCTTTCATCCAGTCGTCTTGAAATACTAACTGGACATTTTGTGTTTTCTGAGAATAGCTATGCAAGAGAACGACAGTTTCATTATGCAAGCAACTGGACATTACTAATGGTGACACTGCTCGTTCCTCTCCGTCATATTGGCTGGTAGTTCTGATAAAGGAGTAGTCTGGAGTGAATTTGTACCAAAACTTGTAGACGTCAGCAATACGTGTAGCGTTTCCTTGTTGGGTGAAAAGTGACCAGTTGAGACTATCATGTTCACTGGCTAAAAGAAACACCACTGTTCTGTCAATGTATTCCCTGAGACTTAGTTGGGTAAATCTGTGGGCATTGCAGTGGTATATTGTTGAAAAGTCTACTATACCCGATGGAGCAAATTTGTCAATTCCCAGCACAATATCGCGACCATACTCGGTGATAACAAGGGGGACCTGCTTCCCTGTTCTACGAGAGGCATAACCTTCCACAAGGTCGACAAATGCTACCAGACGTGCTTCATTCATTCCAGTAAGATTGTGAGATTTCCCCGACACGATCAGTGAGTTGTACGAATGGAAGGAAAATTCATCCAGATAGCCTTGTGTGTGGTCCATGAAATAGGCCACGTTTTTCCAATACGAAAAGTCGTTTCTATCTGCCAACCCAGTTTCTCCGTCAAGTGTAGGACCATTTACCTTGATGTTAAATCGAGCATGGAGTTTCTCAGCAACTAACTTGTGGAAGATGGCAACAGTAGTAAAATTCCAGATGTAAAACTTAGCGTCCGGTTCATTTATTGGCTCAAAGTAGGGTGGGATCTCTCCATTGGTGTAGTCATATACTCCTTGCACCATCAACATTATGAACTCTGAAGCAGCATCAATGTTGTTAGGGAACTGACCATCATGTTCTGACTGATTTATCCAACTAGGCCAGTTATGAGCTAAAATCAACAAAATACGGAACATGAAATTAACATAAAAACATATTTCTGCTTTCAATATAATATGCACATTCCTGTTTGATATAATTTCATCCTACGAAAATTCATTTTCTCCATTACTGAGTGCCTTGTTTGGAAACCTGCATGATTGCTTAAGTTGGTTTTAACAACATTTTAACAGTATTCCTGTTCTTCATGGCGTGTCAGATTCATATCAGAGGAGATTCTGCATATGGCATGCACTATGTTGGTCAAATCCATAAGCACGATGTGTTGCTGATGAAAAAGGAATCGTAGTCAGGGCGAACATCGATTCGAACCAACGATGATGGGTTTCTGGCATGCCCACGGGACACTGCTCTGAAGAACCACGATTTGGCCAACCATAGATGATAACTGAATTGCTTTTAAACACTTACACGTAGCTTTAGGAAAGGATATCATTTTCATCTCACCAGGATACATGAAATTGATTCTCATGATTTGACATTCATACATTGGTATTGTTTAAGAGCCAGTGTTATACGGTTAGCAGCAATGTTTCACTCGTCATACATTGTACCTTTAGAGTCATTGAGGGGCGTGGTGATTACACCGAGGGAACTCTCCTATACAAATTCAAATATGGATTACTGTTACCGAGAGGTGGATATTACCACAATTGTCTTCATTGTCACAACAACTGCTCTTGTATTATACCGTACTTATATTAAGTATGTACTTACACACCATTTTGTACTGCCATTGTGATACCTTTGCACTGATTTGTGAACATAGTTGATTTTAGAATACAGTTGAAAACTGTTGTGTCGCATCCCATCGTTGCAGGTTGTTGAGAAAGTCAAGGGTTAACAAAATATCCCAAGGTTGACCTCACAACTGTACTTTTCGCGGTATTTTAATGGAGCGACATTGTCCGTGTACATCTCAAGGGCCCGCTAGGTGGCGCCCCTGCCACTGTCATTGAGTAAGTTCCCCTTTGCATTGATTTGTGAAAGAAGTTGATTTGAGAATACAATTGTTAATTGCATCATTTGTTTGTTGTTTGTTGGTTTAATACGTAGTTCTCCCACCGTCTGATTAACGGTAAATGTTCAGTGTCAACATGGGAATCAACATTAACAACATATATTATTATCCGTCTCGACAGTTGAGTACAATGCACCATACATGTCTGCAAACGTTTCATTTGAGACAGAGATGACTATGAATGCAGCTCTTCTAAGTTAAGTATGTTCATTGAATGTTTCTATGAAAACATGCTCACCTCTCGCCATCATGACCATTTCGTTCGTAAAACCGCTTTCGATGTTAGAAAGATAGGCGGAGAAATATTGCTGCTGTTTGGTGAAGTTCTTCAAGTAGTTGGGTTCAGGGTAACCACTACGGTTTGGGTCCTCTGGCCACTGTACGAATTGTAAATTAAGGTACCATGATAATAAAATGTCTACGTGAAGTCATGTAACTTTGTGAATAATTATTTCTTTGCTGTTCTGGACAATACGTGAGAGCTTCTTTCCCTTCAGTAAGTGAAAACATGAAAATTCACCAAACAAGAAACTAATTAATATTAATAAAGGTTGATGTGTTAATGCTCTCACAACTGCAATTACAAGACACTGATTTGCATTGATCTTTTCTAAATATCATAGTTATATTGAGGATATTAATTCAGCATTTGGCCATGACCACTCTACCATGAGAGTGTATCCGTATGGGCGTAATTGTGTGCGTGTATGCCTGTGTGTGTGCGTGTATGTCCATGTTTTTGTTCTACTTCTTACCCGTGACACACACACACACACACACACACACACACACAGACACGGAGACACACATTTATCTGTGTGCTTGTATGTGTATGTCTTTGTTTTGTGACACATGTTTTGTGACACACGTACATACATACAAGTTAACTTCCCATTCGTCTGTATTGTTGCTAGGCAAAGACTACCGACGTCACCTTTCCAAACCATCTTGACGGGGGAGAGTGAGTGAGTGATTTGAGTTTTACGCCGCACTCAGCAATATTCCAGCTATATGGCGGCGGTCTGTAAATAATCGAGTCTGGACCAGACAAGCCAGTGATCAACAGCATGAGCATCGATCTGCGCAATTGGGATACGATGACATGTGTCAACCAAGTTAGCGAGCCTGACCACCCGATCCCGTTAGTCGCCTCTTACGACAAGCATGGGTTACTCAAGGTCGATATTCTAACCCGGACCTTTAGGGGTAATCTTGACGGGGGAGAATATACGGGAATAAGTTGGAGTAGAAAACAGGTATGTGTTGCTATTATTTTAGCATTAGCATTGAGACGAGACTCAAATCTGATTTGTAATTTACATGTAGACAATATTTCAAATGGTTTCACAACGCCCACCAAGGTTGAAATCTCCTTCTGGGGAATACATTCATATCAATCTGGATTAGAGCTGGCTATGAGGTGAAACCTGCTATGAGGTGAAACAAAGGCTGAAACACGGGGCAATGTATGGAAACTGGAAGTTCACAGATAAAAGTTGCAGAGTTTAACATTGGCCTGACTTCGTACAAATGCGAGGTACGTGTTACGAAAGCCTGGTGCTGCCACGTATGTAGCATTAAGTGCTTTTAATTGAAATGTATTGTTGTTTCAAGTTTTCTTCACTCTGCTTGAATTATTCTTTTTTTCCGCTATTTTCTCTGTTCACTTCAATTAGTGTCATGTTACTTCACGGTTCTTTTTTCAAGAATTTGAAATTTCGATTATTTTTACGTTATTTAAGTTTTTTCTTGCTGCTACGATTATTTTCTCGCTGGGTCGATTATATTCTCATTTCTCATTCGATTAATATTTCGAAGATTTTTATATTATATCAAGTTTCTTTCACAAACTCGAACTTTTATATTTTTGAAAGTTGAAACAGTGAGAAAATAACTAAAGCAAACGGAAAATACTCGAAATTTCAAGTTTGTGAAAGGAACGAGTAAATAATCATGTTTTACAAAAGATTTAATGTATCTCGAATTTATTTATCAATTTGTAAATCTGTTATTAGAAACTAATATATGTTACAAGTTTGAAACAGTATACATGAGCTGGAAAGGAAAAAAATCAAATTAAATAGAAAATCTCACATCTTGGAAGAGTCGGTTACTATAATCTTCATGTATCCAGCGTCCACTGTCAGTCCCAAGGCTCCGACAGTCGGCCATTAGGGACTCCGGTTCAAGACCATTGTGCTTGTTCCACCTGTCAGTCTCATAGACAACACTACGTCCCTGTGCCAGCCACTGGGGATAAATCGTTAAAGTTGCGTCACTGTTTACACAATCTATTGCCAGGAACACGGCGAAAAAGACCAGTGTCAATTTCATTGTTGCTTGAATGGCATGTACCATCATGAAGAGTTGAAGAAATGTATGGAGTTGTGACAGCCTATATAGTCAGAATTCACAGGCATTATCTCTGGCCTTGACACTGCCGTTCTGTAAATGTGATAAGATAAAAACACTACTGTGTAGGTAGGGTGACGCAGTGGCAATAAGTGCAAGTCACTGTCCACCAACCAGCTGTATTCAGTTAACATTGAGCAATTTACAATATTTGTTGGTGACTTCCTTTCACAACCTTTGCTAAGGACACTTGAAACCACAACGAGGTGTATGAAATCACTGTACAAAGATAACTGCAACTACACTGTAATATTCATAACTTTAACTGAATAGACTAGAGGTCACAAGCAAAGTTACTCTTGTCTTTCTTTAAATAGTTTGACCTTACATTATTGAGCCTTTTTATACGATTTGACAATCAGTATTTACCACATAAAAGGTGAGATACTGAAGTAATGCAGGTGGCATGTACCATGTTTGTCAAACTCATGAGCACGATGTTTTGCTGATGAAAAAGGAATCGTAGTCAGGAAGTACATCGATTCGAACAAACGATGATAGGTGTGTTGCATGCCCACGGGACACTGCTCTGACGAACCACGATTTTGCCATCCATAGATGAAAACTAAATTGCTTATAAACATTTGCCTCTAAATGAATAACTTGGCTTTTGGTAAGGACCTCATTTGCACCTTACCAGGATACATGTAATTGATTCTCTTAATTTGTCAAGTGTATTTGTTAATGCATAGGCATAGTTTAAGAGGCAGTGTAATACGGTGAGCAGCAATGTTCACTCGCCATACATTGTACCTTTAGAGTCATTGAGGGCGTGGTGATTACATCTAAAAAAACACTGCTAGACTTTTTTCAAAGATGGATTACTGTTACCGAGAGGTAGATATTACCACAATTGTCTTTATTGTCACAACAACTGCCCTTGTATTATACCGTACTTATATTAATTGTGTACTTACACACCATTTTGTACTGCCATTGTGATACATTTTCAATGATTTGTGAATATGGTAGATTTTAGAATACAATAGTCAATTGCATCACATTTGTTTGTGTGTTGGTTTCACACGTAGTTCTCCCACATAAAGGGTGTTGTAGACCGTATTGTATATGGAGGACTCTGCGTGACATATTTGTAAAGTATGACAACAGTTTTCGTCTTTGATAAAGAACTTTACAGAGAGGAAGCAATGTGTAAAACGTTTGGAAACAGAGTGGTCATTTCGGAAGTAGAACACATAGGATCAAATCAGCATAGGCGATGTGTACCGTGTTGAAAACTATTGTGAGCAAAAAAGGATAAATTGACTGTTGGAGACAGATGGCGACTTGATACACTCTCATCTATAACATGACCCACGAACCAAGGAAAATAGGCATGGAATGATTGATAGATGAACAGTTGATGTTTCTGAAGAGACGTTGTGAACGCATTTGCAGGCAATGGATTGGTAGACATCACCTCATATAAACATCGAGAAAAACGTTGGAACTGATGCTTTCGACTGTGACATGGTGATGTTTTCAGATAAATTAGGGCAACCTGAACTTCCAATTTGGATGGGACGGACATCTTATGAACGCACCATCATTTAAACACAACGCACGGGATGCACGTGCCCAACGCAGTAGCCCTATACGCGTTCATGGGGTGTCATTCTTGATTTTGACGGTTTTCAAGATGGTCGATAAATAACTGCAGACCATTAATTTTGACAATCAGCTTGCATCACATAGTTGTCAGTGTTTACTTCTATTCGTTTCGTTTTGTTTGAAAACTGAAAATCATGTACATGCTAATTTCACGTCATACACGAATCATCTTTCAAGAGCGATTACTGTACAAACAACTACGGTCATAAGGAGGTGCAAGTGGTGATGCACTCTCTAAACGTCCATATAAGTAGCAGTCATGTTTCAAAAATATTCATCAAAGCACAAGTGTTCTGTATTGATCTTTTAATATCAATATAATAAGTCACACACACACACACACACACATATATACATACATACATACATACATACATACATACATACATACATACATACATACATACATACATACATACATACATACATACATACATACATACATACATACATACGATAAAGAGTTAGTGAGTATAATATGATTGATAATATGATATGATGCACCATGGTATCTCAGTGAGACAACACTTAAAATCCGGCATAAGTCTGTACCAGCACAAACACAAACACACACAAGAGAGTGTTAACAACTAACACCTTAAACAAGGTATTACAGTCGTGCATGACAACCCATGGATCCTACCAAACCGGGCCACAGACTGGGCTTGAGATGGCTAATCTTATACCTGTTCATCATAATTCTTATGCGTTTGTGTCCGGCATGTGCGCGTTCATGCATGCCTGCACAAATTAGTGTATGTTGTTGGAATTTGGTGTATATGTACAGCAGGTTATTTTCACATCCAGTGAAAGCTATATTTGTCACACTTGTGCAAAAACGTTGCACTGTGCTGTGATAAATTACAAACACACACACACACACACACACACACACACACACACACTCAGGCTGCATCTACACGATTGTTGCAGCTGTTGTTAAACAAACTGTTTCTCTAATGATCTGGAAAAACAACAATAGCATGACACTTATTGATTAGATGTATTGAATGCTGTCTTCTGTCCAAATACATGTACCTAAGAATAAAACAAAAGCATGACACTCATAGATGAAATGTACTGAATAATTTCACATTTGAGACATCTCTCAGAATAAGTATCATTATTAAGTCTTCAATCTGATTGGATAAGCTTGCCTGTGACAAGAGCAACTGAAGAAACATATCCCGTAGTCATGCTGCTTGAGAAGTGGATCTGTACCTGGTTAGTCCCCGTTACAAACATGTAGGGAGGAACTACGAACTCCCAAACCTCCCAGTAAGTGGTACGGGCAAACTTGTCGGAGTCATACAGCTTGTGGAAAGCATCAAGGCGATGGCGGTTAAAGGAAAGGTATGATACACTGTTAGTTTCACTGATTAGCCAACTGGTTGAAACTCTCAGCCTGGCACTCTGATATTGTCCATTTGGTAGAGATATTACTGTCGAGACTACATTGCCGTTGATTGGTATGAGTGTGTCAGATCCGTAGTATGTGGTTTCGTTCAGTGTGGCACTAGGTAGCTGGTCTGATGGTGTCTTGAATGTAAAGTGACATGTTGCTTCTGGAGGCATATTTACAATTCCTTGGGTCTTCTGGATGTCGAACGACTCATTGAAGGTGATGACTGGATACCAGTTATCCTTGATGGTGATACAAGTAGCTTCCCCCGAGGTTGGTTTGATCCAGTTATTTTCAAAGTCTAGTTTGACAGCCTGCGACTTCTGAGAATAGCTGTGCAAGAGAATGACTGTTTCGTTATCCAGTGGGCTAGACATTGCTAAGGGAGACACGGTTCGCTCCGCTCCATCATACTGGCTGGTAGTTCTGATAAAGGAGTATCCCGACATGAATTTGTACCAAAACTTGAAGACGTCGACTATGCGAGTGGCGTTTCCTTGAAGTGTGAAAAGTGACCAATTGAGACTATCATGTCCTGGGTATTTTTCGTTGGCTAAAAGAAACACCACTGCCCTGTCGATGTATTCCCTAAGACCCAGCTGAGTAAATCTGTGGGCATTTGCTTGGTATATCGTTGAAAAGTCAACTATTCCTGATGGGGCATATTTGTCAATTCCTGTCACAGGTCCGCGGCCATATTCACTGATAACAAGGGGGATAATCTTTCCGGTTTTCTTAGAGGCATAGCTTTCAACAAGGTCGACGAATGCAACCAAGCGTGCCTCATTCATACCAGTAAGATTGTGAGATTTTCCAGAAACAACGAGTGAATTGTACGAATGAAACGAAAAGACATCTATATATCCTAAAGTGACGTCCATGAAATCTGCCACTCTTTGCCAGTATGAAAAGTTGTATCTGTCCGACAATCCAGTTTCTCCATCGAGTGTTGGACCAGACACTTTGATGTTAAATCTGGAATGGAGTTTCTCAGCAACTGATTTATGAAACTTGGCAACGGTGGTGAAATTCAATATACGCCCTTTACCATCCGGTTCATTTATTGACTCAAAGTAGTGTGGTATTTGTCCCTTTGTGTAGTCATAAACTCCCTGCACCATCAACATCATGAACTCTGCAGCAGCATCGACATCGTTCGGAAACTGACCTATATGTTCAGACGTGTTTATCCAACTCGGCCAATAAAGACCTGTAAAATATTATAATTTTTGTATGAATTTGGCAATGGCTGAAATAAAACGGTTTGACAAGGTCTGGAATAGAAGAATGTTACTGTCAAAGAATTAATGACGCGGAATATATCAGTCAGAGAAAGAAAAAATAATGCTGATGAAGAAAACGACCCTTTCAAACATTGACGTGGCTTTTTTGTCGATCGTTCCGGTAAGATTACATTATATTTTTTGTGTGGTGTTTAAAGAAAGAACATTCCAGTATTCATTATAATTTGTTGTTTTAATGTAGGTTATCACATTTAGTATTTCTATGAAAGCATTTTACAATAATTATTTTGTTTCAAGAATGAACGATAATAACAGCACCAAATGTTTTTAGGTCAGTGAATAAAAATTCAACAAAAACATTAACTATATTTAGGTAAGTTTCTTTTTAAAATCAACTTTGAGTCACATTGTCGACTGCCTTTTGGTGGAACACTAACGTGATAGGGAGACACGATACATCTGCTTTCTTGACTCATCCTCATCAAGGATGGGTTTCAATCCTTATAGGGTGGTAAGTGTTATATATGTGACAGGCAAAGATAGTTATTTTGATTAATTGCTTATTGTCTGGCAAATAAGGTCCCTTATGAGTGAGTGAGTGAGTTGGGCTTTACGCCGCTTTTACCAATATTCCAGCAATAACACGCATTGTGCCCATGTGGGGAATCGAACCCGTGTTTTCTGCATAAAAAGCGAACGCTTTACCCGCTATGAGTAGGAACAGTTTTTGATGAACTCTACACATCATAACAACTTGCTCAGTAATCGGTGGCCTATAGTTTCCCCAAAATGTAGGTAAGTGTAAGGGACACGTGAAAGCACTTCTCAACTCTGAATATTTTAAAAATGATGTAAAGAGATTGTATCCTTGCGTATTTCCGTATCGTTCACATTTGATTTCGGGAAATTTATGGAATATGTTTGTTGTTTATAGCAACCTTCAGCAATATCTAAGCTCCATAACGATGGTCAGCAAATAATAGGGTTTTGTTCAGAATAACTAGTGGTTGTAATTATGAGAAATGGCCAGCGTGAAAAACTGATTCGCATCATACGATATAGACCGCCTTGTGGAACAACAGGCAAACATAGCAAAATCTCTAAAACGCAAGTTCAGGTTCACATTAAGATATTTTGACTTTACCACAACGTTGGTTATTACTGATGGTTTTATACATGATTGGGACGATGACCAACAGTGGGCTGTGTTCTCCCAGAGTGCTCTAATGGGGAAGACCCGTGAAAATCCGGGCTAGAAATCATCTTCAGTAACCCATGGTTGTCGTAAGAGGCGACAACGGCATCGGGTGGTCAGGCTCGCTGGCTTGGTTGACACATGTCATCGTATCCCAATTACGTAGGTTGATGCACATGCTGTTGATCACTGGATTGTCTGGTCCAGACTCTATTATTTACAGACCGCCGTCACATAGATGAGTGCGGTGTAAAACTAAACTCACTCACTTACTCTAATGGGGAAACATGTTCTTGTCCCAAATAGAAAACTCTTACCTCCTGCCATCATTATCATGTCATTTTCATAGCCACTGTTGATGTTCTCAACGTAACTGGAGAACATTTTCTGCTGAAAGGTGACGTTCTTCAGATGGTTGGGATCAGGGTAGCCACTACGGTTTGGGTCCTCTGGCCACTGCAATCAATAATTATCTATATCCTCAGGGCTAACAGTTTGGTACGTTTTCACTAACCCCTCAAATCACCAACCCTTGACTTCCAGTTTGATTATCTACACTACTATACTGAACCACTATAGAAATGTCGTACCGATAGCAGTTTCTTAAAGCACACACTTTAATTCACTGTTCTTAACAATCAACACGGAGGACTGAGTTCAAACTTGGTTAACACATTTTCGGGAATCACATATAGAGTTAACACAAACAACATCACCAAAAATGGTGCCATTAAGATACCCCAAAGTCAGTATTATGTGTGGCCTCCATGGGCATCGATGAAAGCGTTGCATCGTCTGTACATGAAATCAATTAGCCGGTTGCTGAAGGCCATAGGCTCTTGTGTCCATACTCTTTGAAATGCCTGATCGAGTCCAGCTGCAATTGTCGGCCTTGGTTGGAGGTCATTCAGTCTTCTTTGAAGCTCGTCCCAAAGGTGTTCTATTGGACTTAAAATCCGGACTGAGTGCAGGCTATTGCAGGGTGTTTTTAGGCCATGTTGTTTTGGAAGTCAAATTTTGCTCTGGCAGTGTGGGCACGAGCGTTGTCTTGCTGCAAGTTGTGAATTCTGTAACGTACAAAATTTGGTACAACGTGGGGTGTGATGACTTGGTCAATATAGCGAGCAGCTGTCACGTCATTTCTTCATCCTGGACCAAGATTCTGGAACTCAACGGTGTCAACTAACTGGTTCAGACCGAATGCACCCCACACCGTGATGCTTGGACCACACCAAGTGTCTCTTTCAATGGTACACTCATTGGAAAACAGTTCCCCATGCCTTCACCATATCACTCTGCCATCGACTGTCGAAACACAACATCGGCTTTCATGAGATAAAAGCACAGTTCTCCATTGTCGATAACGCCAATGTTAATGCTGAGTTGTCCATTGCAGTCGGTTTGGGCGGTAATGAGCTGTGAGGACAGGACCACGATACGGTCTTTGACAGCAGAGATTTTTTCTGCGCAAACGTCGACGCACTGTATCGGCACTGATGGGTCTGTTGTGAGTCCCAATGGTCTGGCATACTGTTTCAATCGCTCTGGGCGATCTTGCAGATGGTTGCGCACAATCTGTCGGTCTTGACTTTGTGATGTTACTGGAGGTCGCCCACTGCGTGGACGGTCTTGGATGCTGTTAGTCACCTGATACCTCTCCTGCAGTCGGTACATTGTCCTTACATGAACATTAAAATGATTGGCTCCCCTCCGTGCAGCCTGAACAACTTGCAATCGTCCAAAGACTTGGTTCCTCGGATCTCTCGTAAGTCGTGGCATGGTGATTGTATCAAAACAAAATTGATTTCAGGCGAGTTTGGGACTTGCTTTCATATATAAGCATCTTTCCAGTAATAAACCAGCCTCGACGCTGAGATGGAAATATGAGCAGCCTGACGGCAAGTACTGTTACTTATTATGGAGTTTTCGAGAACTCAATACTAAAGAACCAAGTGACATGAAAAGAACATCTTCATAATTTCTCTTTGATGGAGGGCGGTGGGGTAGCCTAGTGTTTAAAGCGTTCGCTCGTCACGCCGAAGGCCCGGGTTCGATTCCCCACATGGGTACAATTTGTGAAGCCCATTTCTGGTGTGCCCCGCCGTGATATTGCTGGAATATTGCTAAAAGCGGCGTACAACCATACTCAGTCAGTCAGTCTTTGATGGTATTGGTACCCAGTGGTATTGGATACGAATTACCTCCCTTGCCCATCCCCTTTCCAAGTTGTCCAAGTAAGATAGCCTGGTTTAAAGATCAAGGATGTATGCAAGGTAATTTGCGAAGAACTACGGGAATGGAACCAGGGGCTAGTGTAGGTTTAATGTTAACAGCAAAGTATCACCTCATTCGTGTAGGACACCGTATTCCTGTAAGGGTTACACTAAATCAATGTTTCCATTACATTGTCGCCATCACTGGCGTTTGATAATGTCAAATTTGTTTTTAACAGTGCTAGTGACAGCTTTCAGTGGCATTGATATTTAGTATTATACGTTGGTTGTTCTCACGTCTTGGAAGAGACGATCGTTAAGATCTCTGTTATTCCAGCGCCCAGCGTCAGTCCCAATGCTCCGACATTTGGGGATGAGAGTTGTCTTATCTAGACCATTGTGCTTGTTCCATCTATTGCTGTCATAGCGAGCGCTTCCTCCCTGTGCCAGCCATTGAGGGTGGATTGTGACAGTTGTGTCATTGTATACTCCGCCCACTGTCAAGCACAGAGTGAAAATGACCTGTGTCCACTTCATTTTCTGTAACAAATATCATATTTTAATGATCTGATTTATTTACATTTCTGCTGACCTGGGCCTCCTTTCACAAAGCACTAGGTGATCGTAAGTCACGAAGGTAACCTTAGTGCAACGTTAAAGAATGGGAGCTAAGGGTTAAGTTCAGTAAAGGTTGCTTCGTGAAAGGAGCTCCTGGCTTTTATTCACTATTAACCACCTTTTCTATGTATGTTTTCAATGTATGGCCAGGCCCCATTACAAGACATGTGACTTTTATCAGACGGAGGGGTCAAGAGGTGAACTACCCAGATCCAGTCGACCACGTGTCACAATTGAAACCCAGGACCGGTTAACACTGGTTCATGACTTATTTGATGACTCACCACAGCCGCCTCATACAGCTGGAGTACGTACTAAGATTTCAGCCCGGTCACCGAGGAACCATCTATGTGTCGCAAGTACTGAGTGTAATGATGGGACGCCATCTCATACCGGTACAACAGACTTGGTACACTCCCTGAGCACAACGTTACACCGATGACAGTTTTCGGCGACACGTCCTTCCCATTTTAGAACACGCAAACGTAATGTTTCAACACGACGACGCCCGATCTGACACAGCAAGACTTTTTGAAGAACCACAACATCCAAGTACTTACATGGACCTCTTGGTCTCCAGATCGGACAATTATGAGATGCTCGTAATCAACATCTGCGACCATGTCAGAAACAGCCACAGAACCCTAGCACTGCACAAACACTGCAGGAAGGGTGGGTGAACATTTCCCAGTACACAATTGGTGATCTGATTGGTTCGATAGGGCGACTATACCAGGCAGTTCTGGTGAGGTGAGGTGAAATTGGGTTTAACGTCTGCTTGAGAATATTTCGCTCATATGACGACGTGCATGCGTGTGTATGTGTATGTGCGGGTGCTTGTACTAGCCCAGACTTAATCTGGTTTTATAGTGTTAGCCCACTGAGATACCATGCCGCAGTGAAGCATGAATACTCCACTCAGACACTCCGAGCCGACCAGTCCTTGTTGTACTCATCAATGCCGAGCGCCAGGCAGGGACCAACAAGTACCATATTTTAACGTCTCTTTGGTATGACGCGGCCGGGGATCGAACCCGCGACCTTCCGCTGTCCGGGCGGACGCTCTACCCAATACACCACGGAGGCGGTCCCAGGCAGTTCTGGACTTTCGTGAGGGCCATATATGCATTGGTGAGTAAGTGTCATGATGAACCTCGTCAATGACATGTGCCAAATTTGAACACGTTATTCTTATCGGTTTACTCTGTATTCATTTGCTGTAGGACACTGGTCCCCAATAGTATATACAAGATATATCTGAGTGAGTGAGTTAAGATTTTAAGTCACATCGGCAATATTTCAGCCATATCGTGACTATAAACAAGTTTTGAATACACCATAAATACATGTAAATTATATAAACCTGTCGACGAAGGACAGTAAAACCAACTAGAATATCACCGATACAAGAAATAAAACTCTCTAAAATTGGATTTCAAATTAGGACAAGATAATATAAAAAACGGGCTATAGAACACCAGCAACCGAAAGTAGATCACACAAGATACATGTCCATGATATATCCACTGTACACTAGATGATGGTGCCATTTGGACCTTTCATTTTTGTATGTCTAGCAACACAGAATGTTTGGTGGTTGTCTAGAATCGTGCGGGTCCCGATAATCCAGTGATTAACATCATGAGCATAGATCTACGCAAATGTTATACGATGACATTCATAAATGAAGTCAGAGAGCCTGACCACCCGATTAGTTTAGTCACCTGCCTCGACAAGTTTGCCGAAGACCAATTTTAAAGCGTATTTTCACATGCCATATTACCACAGATTGAAATTTGATTATACAATACTATGTTTCTACAATTAAAGGAATGATAGGAAATCCACGATCTATTGAAGAATGTAAGTGCTTTTGCTTCCGATATCTGTTATTCATGTTGCTTCGTCATATATACTATCCAAAAATAGAAACGCATAGGCATTTGTATTTTAAAAAATCTATTATTTACCTATTGTGTTTAAACAATCGTCAATATATGTAACATAAGTGTTGATAACATGATTTTACACAATTGCACAAGTAAAAAATCGACTTTACCTGAAAATGTTGATTTTGATAAGATTTCTTAGAAGGATTATAAATGCATCGCCACAACGCAACAAAAATCATCTTCCAGTTGAAATTGTGCAGCAAAGAGCATGCACTGTCTGGCTATAAAAATCCAGATTACTTTCGGAAATCGGCATTCGTTTTGGAGGCTAAGCGGTCTAGGCGTCGGACTTTGAGTGCTGGCGATTAGGTGCCTGCCTGGCTGTGGGTTCGAATCCCGTTTGGGACTCAACCCAAAAAAGTACTAGAATCTGTACTTTATTGAGAAAGTGTAATCCCAAATATAACCTATGTTATATTTGACCACTTTCTAAAATGGCATTGTGTATTTTATCTTTTGGAGGAGTTTCAAAGGTCAAATCACTACGCCTCGTCTTGACGCTGCGACACGCCATTGAAAGAATGCAGGCTGGAGATAACCAATCTTTTGTTGTCAGGCGTCTGGATGTTACTCTGATGACGATATCACGGCTTGCAGCTCGTTACAACCAAACAGGTATAACAAATAACCCTCCTCGTACAGGCAGACCTCGAGTCACCACTGCAGCCCAAGATCGGTACATCCTGGGTACTACATTTGCGTGGTCGTACTGCCACGGGTGAGAGCACAGCAGCCAGGGTGCCTGGACTTCGGAGGGTATCCGGGCAAACTGTACGGAACAGGTTGAGAGAGATTGGGCTGAGAGCCAGGGGACCCGACTTCTGGACCGTGCTACGTCGTCATCATCGCGCTCACCGTCTCCGTTATCTAAAATTATCCACTTGGTTGTATAGACATTGCCTTCTTCTAAACTGATGTAAAAATTCATGCACTAAGGTCTCTTTGTGGACGAGTTATACATGTTTGAAAATACATTTTTGCAACAGATTTCTGGCCTATGCGTTTCTTTCTTGGGATAGTATGTTACTGGTAGCAAGGAAGTGATAAAATGACAAAGTTTGCAAATATTTGAAATATGATTCCAAAGAGCAAGGGGTTCGGAAGACAGTGTCTGCCTGCACTAATTTTACATTGCTAATCTCACCGTTTATCCTTTTGTTGACCAGTCTGTATTTCCTTACACATAGAAGAAGAAAAGTTTATTCGTATTCAAGGCTTCGTGGTCAAAAGTACAAAAGTGTATATACATGGTTTCAATGCGCATGGACATCGAAGTGATTATCTACATATACTTCTAAATTAAAGTGGTAGATTTCGTTTCAAAATGAATTCAAGATTTTTTAAACATTCTAAATTTTGCGAAGACATTAACAAATTAAACTGTTCATGTGTTTTATAAGTATAAAAAGAACTTGGTAACAACAATTTTCTGCTTTCTACATAGTTAACATAGATAAAAAGTTAAATTGATCATGGGTGACGTTATAATTACATTTTGTACACTTCAGTAAATCAGTATTTACATTTTTATCATTTACATGTAAAGTAATACAATAGTAATTGATATAACTTATTCAGTCTGACGTGAAAATGACAAACATTAGGCATACTCACGTGGCGATCCACACTCAACTAGTCGTCTCAACACCTGACAAAACAAGAGAGCCTTTATAGAACAAGCACGAGAGTTTATAAGGTTTTCACGACCTTCGGCACTAACGTTCCATAAATATTTCGAAATGATAAGAACATGCGTATGTATGTAGGTCTGTTGATAGAGCAGCCTGGCAAAAGTGCATGTCACCCTGTCTCACAAAAAGTCAAGAAGAAAGACACTCATGTAACACAAACACATTTGTTCTTGATCTATCTGTCTAAATGTGTAAACAGATAATCCCAATAACTACCCGGGCTAGACTAAACATTACTTTCAGTGTCAAATAGGTTATTTTCCCGATGATTAAAGATTGTCTATTGACGAGCTTCAACCAGACATATATTTGAAATGTACTTTTGACACGTGTAACATTGAATCTCACAATGGAAGAAGTGAGTGCACTGTTATGAAAATAGATGTGTATCATGTTGCTAGTCTCCATTTAACGAACGCTGAAAAGTGGATTGACGAATCCATTTTTAGCCCTAGTGCATAACGTTCCATGACGGTTGCAATTGTGAAGCAGGAGGAGAACGTCATGCCCAGTGTTGTGTTTGTGTGGTTCGATTTGAAGGTGGTTGTGCAATGGTTTGCGGAGCATTTGTGCCATCGGTCGATCTCGATTGATTGTCGTGCAAGAGTGAGTGAGTGAGTGAGTTTAGTGTTACGCCACACTCAGCAATATTCAAGCTATATGAAGGTCGGTCTGTAAATAATCGAGTCTGGACTAGACAATCCAGTGATCAACATCATGATCATCGATCTACGCAATTGGTATACGATGTCAGCCAAGTCAGCGAGCATGAACACCTGATCCCATTTAGTCGCATCTAACGACAAGCATGGGTTACTGAAGATCAGTTCTAACCCGGGTATGTCGTGCAAGAGAATCTTACTGCCCATACAGTATTGGGATCAAAGTTGAACCCAGACATTCATGCACCTATACGTACTTGGCCCTGGACTGACATTTCAACATGACAACGCTACACCCCCATACAGACTGTGTATTTGTTCTGACGACTGGAACCCAGAGATCGTGAAACTACTGCAACCGATTGTTCAACATTAACCTCACCAACATGAAGCTCCCGCATACTGTCTTCTTTATTTAACTTGCAGTTTTGTTTTTGCGTTTTCATCTTAAGCATTGCCTGTGTGCTATACATTCTAATGCAGTTGCGATTCTTCCCAAGTATACTGAACCGCAAACGAAACGTCACCTCCAAAACCAAATTTTGTTCTCACAAGGTGGTGTTTTTATTATGATTGTACCGTTTTGTTAAAGTGTGTTTCACTCCAAATGGATAGTCATTACCAACATTAGTGTGTTTTCTGATGAAAAGGCATATCGACTAAACGCACCTAAAAAGGCAGACGTGATAAAAGGTACCTTATGACATTCGTGAAAATGAACATGCACGTACATATCGTGACAACCCTACCAATGAAAGCGAGTCTCAAACTCGCCTGAAATTATTCTTGTTTGACACAACCACCATGCCAGGAGTTACGAGAGATCAGGGGAACCAAGCCTCGGGACGATTGCAAGTTTGCCAGAATGCAGGGAAGGTAGCCAATCATTTTAATGTTCATGTTGGGACAATCTACCGACTGAATGCGGTTTCAGGCCACTAACAGCATCCAAGACCTTCAGTAACATCACAAAGTCAAGACCGACAGATTGTACGCAACCATCAGCAGGATCGCTTCACCAGAAGGACGGAAGCAGCACGCCAGACCATTGGGACTCACAACAGACCCATTAGTGCAGTAACAGTGCGTCGACGTTTGCGCGGAAGAAACCTGTGCTGTCGCAGACCATATCGTGATCCTGTCCTCGCCGCTCGTCACTGCCCAAACCGACTGCAATGGGCGACTCAGCATCGAAATTGGCGTTATTGACAATGGAGAACTGTGATAAAATTCGATATTGTGTTTCGACAGCCGATGGCATAGTGAGAGTATGGCGAAGGCGTGGGGAACGGTTTTCCAAAGAGTGTATTGTTGAAAGAGACTCGTGGGGTGGTCCAAGCATCACTGTGTGGGGTCGATCGGCCTGAACCAGAGAGTTGGCCCCATGTTCGGTCCAGGACGAGGAAATAGCGTGACAGCTGCTCACTATATTGATCAAGTCATAAGACCCCACGTTGTACCACATGTTGGACGTCACAGAAAACACATCTTCGAGCACGATAACGCTCGTGGCCACACTGCCAGAGCAACATTGGACTTCGTAAGACAAAATGGCATCCAAACCCTACTACTGCCTGCACTCAGTCCGGATTTAAGTAAAAAAGAACACCTTTGGGACGAAATTCAAAGAAGACTGAATGACCTCCAACCATGGCCGACAACTGCGGCTAGACTCAATCAGACATTTTGCTCAGTATGGACCCCAGTGCCTATGGCCTTCAGCAAGCGGCTAATTCATTCCATGTACAGACGATGCAACGCCGTCATCGATGCCCATGGAGGCCACACACGATACTGACTTTGAGGTATCATAATGGTACCATTTTGGTGATTTTGTTTGTGTGAATACTAACCATAGGTAACCATAATTGTCAAGTTTGAACTCAATCCTCCGTTTTGATTGTAAATTAGAGCGAATGAAAGTGTGTGCTTTAAGAAACCAATATCAGTATGGCGTTTCTTTTGCTGTTCAGCATATTAGTTTAGTAACACGATTCAATCCAAAGAGAACCATTGCAGGTGTTGCAATTTTGTTTTATTACCTGGGTAACAACGACATAACACTCATTAATGGAACAAATTTAATCATATCAAATTTGAGGTATTTCTCAGCATCCATATCATTATTAAGACTTCAAATCAGATTACACAAGTTTGCCTGTGACAAGGGCAACTGACGAAACATATCCCACTGCCATGTTGTTTGAGAAATGAACCTGTACCCGGTTAGCCCCTGTGACGAACAGGGAGGTAGGGACTGCAAACTCCCAAACCTCCCAGTAAGTGGTACGGGCAAACTTGTCCGAGTCATACAGCTTGTGGAATGAATGTAGGCGATGGTGGTTGAAAGCAAGGTATGACACACTGTTAGTTTCACTGATCGGCCAACTGGTTGAAACTCTCAGCCTGGCACTTTGATATTGACCATTTGGTAGAGATATTACTGTCGAGACTACATTGCTTTTGATTGGTATGAGTGTATCAGATCCGTAGTATGTGGTTTCGTCGAGTGTGGTACTGGGTAGTTGGTCTGATGGTGTCTTGAATGTAAAGTGGCACGTTGCTTCTGGAGGAAGGCTTACAATTCCTTGGGTCTTCTGAATGTCGAAGGGTTCGTTGAAGGTGATAACTGGATACCAGTCATCCTTGATGGTGATACAAGTAGCTTCTCCCGAGGTTGGTTTCATCCAGTTATTTTCAAAGTCTAGTTTGACAGCCTGCGACTTCTGAGAATAGCTGTGCAAGAGAATGACTGTTTCGTTATCCAGTGGGCTTGCCATTGCTAAGGGAGACACGGTTCGCTCCGCTCCATCATACAGGCTGGTAGTTCTGATAAAGGAGTATCCCGACATGAATTTGTACCAAAACTTGAAGACGTCGACCATACGAGTGGCATTGCCTTGAAGTGTGAAAAGTGACCAATTGAGACTATCATGTCCTGGATATTTTTCGTTGGCTATAAGAAACACCACTGTTCTGTCGATGTATTCCCTGAGACCAAGTTGGGTAAATCTGTGGGCATTGGAGTGGTATATCGTTGAAAAGTCAACTATACCTGATGGAGCATATTTGTCAACTCCTGTGACCTTATCGCGACCATATTCACTGATAACAAGAGGAATAATCTTTCCGGTCTTCTGGGAGGCATAGTTTTCAACAAGGTCGACAAATGCTACGAGACGTGCTTCATTCATTCCAGTTAGATTGTGAGATTTCCCCGATACGATAAGGGAGTTGTATGAATGGAATGAAAATACATCTATATATCCTAAATTGGTGTCCATGAAATTTGCCACATTTTGCTAATACGAAAAGTTGTTTCGATCCGACAATCCAGTTTCTCCGTCGAGTGTTGGACCAGACACTTTGATGTTAAATCTGGAATGGAGTTTCTCAGCAACTGATTTGTGAAACTTGGCAACGGTGGTGAAGTTCATTATACGCCCTTTACCATCCGGTTCATTTATAGGCTCAAGATAGTGTGGTATTTGTCCCTTTGTGTAGTCATAAACTCCCTGCACCATCAACATCATGAACTCTGCAGCAGCATCGACATCGTTCGGAAACTGACCTATATGCTCAGACGTGTTTATCCAACTCGGCCAATAAAGACCTGTAAATAACATGAGAGCAAACCCGTTATACTGATGATATTTTTAATGATTCTAATTTCCAATTTTATTGAAACGAAGGGTTTCGAAAGCATTTGAAACATCATAGCGTATGAGGCATGGAGTGAGGGGAAAATATAGTCCCATCAGAATTCGTACAGCCACATCGTCACTATCAAATGTTTTACTTCTAAACTATGTAGAAATCTGTGAAGACGAGACATAATCATAACTAGATATCACAGACATATTCAGAACTGGTGTTTAACCAAAATGACATCACTTAAACTAGGGACATATTGTATTTATGTATTGTACTGTAACATTGTATTTATGTATTGTATTGTAAGATTGTATTGTATTTATGTATTGTATTGTAACATGTATTTAGGTATTGTATTGTAACGTTGTATTTATGTTTTATAACATGCCGTATTTATATATTGTAACATTGTATGTATGTATTGCAATTTAACATTGTACGTATGAGTGAGTGAGTTTAGTTTTACACCGCACTCAGCAATATTCCAGCTATATAGCGGCGGTCTGTAAATAATCGAGTCTGGGCCAGACAATCCAGTGATCAACAGCATGAGCATAAATCTGCGCAATTGGGTACCGATGACATGTGTCAACCAAGTCAGCGAGCCTGACCACCCGATCCCGTTAGTAGTCTCTTACGACAAGCATGGGTTGCTGAAGACCAATTCTACCCCCGATCTTCACGGGTCTTGTACTTATGTATTATGTTGTACCATATTGTATTTATGTATTGTATTGTAACATATTGTATTTATGTAACATATTGTATTTATGTATTGTATTGTAACATATTGTATTTATGTATTGTAACATGTTGTTTTATGTATTGTATTGTAACATATTGTATTTATGTATCGTATTGTAACATATTGTATTTATGTATTGTATTGTAACATATTGTATTTATGATACCATAATGAAACCTCGGCATTATTTACACCATCCCTCCACCAGCTGGCTGTTATCGGCGAGTTTCGCATAAATCTTAGACTGTTGTGAACGAAATAATAATGCCATGGTCAGGGTCATGGTCACCTCAGTCGATTTTTCTAAAGAGCGGGGATTTATTGCTTTCATTTTGTTTATAAAGAAGCACAGTCAAAATATAATATCTTGTGAGAGTAAAATATGTATTTCATGACATCATGCTATTGGTGCGTATTCTAAAAATTCGTGTTTTTGACCGTACTTCTCCTAATATCCTTATTCCTTGAATATGGAATTAAGTATTCGTGGAGTTTGTTTGTTTAACCGGCAGTGGGGTCATGTCGAGCCATTTCACTAATGACCTTGGCCACAAGATAGAGCAAATGGTCCAAGTGACGCGTGCAAGAAGAATCCCAATGAAAAACCACACTAAACACACGTAACTTGTTTTTTGGTTTGTTTTCACCGATCCTGCTTCGTTCCGCCCCGTCTACAATGTCATCATATCGATCATTCTTACCTCCCGCCATCATGATCATGTCGTTCTCGTAACCACTTTTAATGTTCTCAACGTACTTGGAGAACATTTGGTGTTGCATGGTGACGTTCTTCAGGTGGTTGGGGTCAGGGTAGCCACTACGGTTTGGGTCCTCTGGCCACTGCAATCAATATACGTATTGCATTAGTAGAATTATGTTATACCTTGTGCCATTCGTCAAAGCCTTTTAGCACAGATATGTACTCTCTCACACACTGTTTTGCCAGGAACTGATGTATTTACTCATATTGTGAACTTAAGAGAATACACCACTAGGACACTGGGAACTATTAACCAAAATTTCAAAATAATGGTGTTTTCAAATTAAATTTGTGCTTTCCTTCTTAGGAGGATATAAAATACTTATAAAAATGTTTATAACCTAGATACTTTTCCGGTTTGACTAAAGTACTTAGCACAGTACTTGATTTTACTCTTGTTGATGACCGTTTCAGTTCAATCTGAAGAGATGGTGCTAATCATATTTGTGTAATGGCTGCGTTAAATGAATATATATATATATATAATAACTTCATCATGATATCATTGTCAAATACAGTTCTGAAAAATACTGGGGCCAGGTTTTATTACGAAGTCCATGTTAGTATCGTTCATTGGTTGTTCTCACGTCTTGGAAGAGACGATCGTTAAGATCTCTGTTATTCCAGCGCCCAGCGTCAGTCCCAATGCTCCGACATTTGGGGATGAGAGATGCCCGATCAAGACTATTGTGCTTGTTCCATCTATTGCTGTCATAGCGAGCGCTTCCTCCCTGTGCCAGCCATTGAGGGTGGATCGTCACAGTTGTGTCACTGTATAGGCCACGGACACCGCCAACTGTCAGACTCAGAATGAAAAAGACCTGTGTCCATTTCATATTCTGTAACAAATATCCCATTTTATGAAATGATTACCATAAGGTGGTATGGTTTCATTGAAGAATCAAGAATCAAAGTGTATTAGCCATAGAACGTGTCGTCAACATTGCCTTACACGATACATGTCCCACTCGTACCTACATACCTGCCTGCACGCACGCACACACGCATGCACATATTGTCATTTATATCACAAATAGGTGAGGTGAGGTGAGGTGAAATTGGGTTTAACGTCGTGCTTGAGAATATTTCGCTCATATGACGACGTATATCACAAATACAAACACAAGAATGGTAATAATTGGAGTCTGGAGTGGCGTTCCCATGTTCATTTGGCCTCTGTACGTATCACACTTAACTGGTAAAACGGGGAAATGACAAAAGAAGTATTGATCCCCGGGTGCCCACATTCAATACAACTGCACAACTAACTAACCGATAATCACTTTGTTGGCAAGTTTGTGTGGAAATGTCAAGTAAAACAACCAGTCTTTGGTATAAGTCATTCGACCTGACGTGAATATATCAAACATAAGGCATACTCACGAGATGTTTCAGGATCTACTCTACACTACGAACGGGAGTCTTTATAGTTTAATTTCACACAAAAAAGTGAGGGACCTTTGGCAGCACCGTTCCATAAATGTTTGCAAGTGATAAGAGTATGCGTTGGTATGTAGGTGTGGCGACAGAGAAAGGCTTGTTGAAAGTGCATTTCATTCTGTCACACAAAGTGTTATGATTTAAGAAGAGTGTTAAGCATATGCGCAATGATTTTTACTTAATTCTCTGCCACTGGGATGTCTTAACTGATGTTTGATGTTCATTTCAGAGTTGCTATGATCCAAACACAAATCATCTTTGACGCTGACACTACCGTTTTAAAAAATGTGCACTACATGATAAAGAATTGCGTTGTCATATGTGGTATGGTGATAGTGCAGCAATGACGTAAATGCAAGGGACTAAAGCTTATCTTGAACGAAACATTTGTTCTGACTTGTTCTGTCAAGTCATCACAAAATGACAGACATCCCAACCTCTTCAGCCTTGGCTCCAGTTTCAAAGTATTGCTCCACATGATATCTTCATGTAGACTGACAATTCAAATTTAGAGAAATATTTGTTTGTGACTCTTTGACACTTTCTTTCACGAAGCCCAATGCACGAAAATAAAGATTAATACATATCAATTTCATGGTTTCAACTAAATACACCAGAGATGACATGTAGACATGGAGAGTCACTGGCCACCTCAGTACAGTATTCTTAATAAGAGTGTAAAGTTTCGGTGGTTCCATTCCCTGTCCATCCAAACACGGTTACGAACGGTTTCCCCTGGGCGGCTCGGAGTCAGTATACTGTGTCTGTGTTGAGTGGCGATCTTACAACATGGCATGGTAACTTTAGACAACCAACAGAAGTAAAAATCATAAGTTTCCATAATATACAGCATTTCCACTAAAATGCTTAAAGGTCACATGCAACGTAAAGTACAACTTTGCAGATTCTGATACCTTTCGGTATGGACATACCGAAACAAATCGTCAAAAATGCAAATTCAACTTATAAAGTTGAAAAATAACGCGATGAAAAAAATCGCGCGAAATCGGAGTTCAAACGTTTCACTAATTTTCCCCAGACTTTTCTGGGGAAAACGGGTTTCAACAGCTGGGCTGCGCTCATAGCACGTGCGCAAGTAAATAGGTTTGCGCAGCTTGGAAGCGGGTTGTCGGGTGAATACTCGGTGAAGGCTTTGGTGTGAGCTATTTTTCTAATGTTTTGTTGATATCTCACAGGCGCGAGCTTTTTTATATGTTATGACAGTAAATTAACTGTTTATATAATTTCATTTGTCTATTTCACCACACGTTCTTCTTACCGAGACACTTTCTCAGTTCGATACTTAAAAGCAATGTCATTATTTAGCATTGACAGAATTTCTAACTGTGATATAGATATGTCGTTGTCACAGACAAAACTCAATATCTTGTTTTATTGAGACCTGTGTGTCTGCCTGCCTGTCTGCTAATGACAATATTCAATACACAGCTGCTATCACAGATGCAATTTGAACTTAACACCAATCAGGATATACACCATAAACAAAATGCATCGATTTATGGCCCGAGTTCGGTCTCTGTCACATTATGTAATTACACAGACAGGCAGGTGTGATACTTGAAAACATGACATGTTATGATATCTGTTGATTGCAAAATATTATACACAAAAAATGAGCATGTATTTACAAAACCCAACGTCTCTCTATATATATACACACAATTAGCCGTGAAGGCATCTGCAAATGAACCAGCCGTTACACTTGAGTGCACACCCACCCGCTCTGACTGGGTTCGGTATCCCGGTTGCTTCGTTTCTGGGAAGTAAACCGAAGGACACAATTTTGCACTTTCGATTTGCGATTGTACGCTTATAATTTTGTTTATATATTTTTTCGTAACCAGCAATGTATATTATATGTCAGGAATAAGTGATAATTGTGTTTTAATTATGTTTGATTTTTTGGTTGCATGTGACCTTTAAATTTGCAATATTTATGCCAAATCATCCCGAAATCGCTTTTGCCGGATATACCAACAATAAACGAAAACAGAATGTAAAGGTCTACCTAAACACCCACTGTTTGTATCACTTATTTCAGCACGGCTCCCTTGGGAGCTGCATAAATCGCCTTACACGCGCATGCCGCGTGTCGTTGGACAGCTGGATCCTGGAGCTACACGGAGAATGGTTCTCTTTACACTTTTACATCCATGTCATTAAATTGTTTATCAGTTTATTTTGTTGGCCACTGAACGTTGTTTTCAAGACAGATTATTAATGCAGTCGTCGTATACCAATTGTGTAAATCGATGCTCATGCTGTTGATAACTGAATTGTCTGGTCCAGACTCGATAATTTACAGACCGCCGCCATATAGCTGCGGTGTAAAACTGAACTCAATCAATCAATACAGCATACAGGCCCATGACAAACACTTAAACAACCAAACTGACCGCCTCCGTGGTGTAGGTTAGAGCGTCCGCCCGGAGAGCGGAAGGTCGCAGGTTCGGTCCCAGACCGCGTCAAACCAAAAGACGTTAAAATATGGTACTTGTTGGTACCTGCTTGGCGCTCGGCATTAATGGGTATAACAAGGACTGGTCGGCTCGGAGTCAGTATAATGTGTCTGAGTGGGGTATTCATGCTTCACTGCGGCATGGTATCTCAGTGGGCTAACACTATAAAACCAGCTTCAGTCTGGGCTAGTACAAGCAGGCGCACATACACAAACACACGCATGCACGTCGTCATATAAGCGAAATATTCTCAAGCACGACGTAAAACCCAATTTCACCTCACCTCAGCTTACCTTAAACAACCAAACTAATCAGTCTAAAGTGACATCAATAGTTTATTGATGGCAATTGTTTAATGACATCCAGTTTGAGGAATTTGTCATAATGTTAACACTATCTTCACTTGAAATCAGGAGGAACGAGCTGAGCTGTAACAAGAGCAACCGAAGAAACGTGTCCAGCTCTCATGTTGTTTGAGAAGTGAACCTGTACCTGGTTAGCCCCAGTGTCAAACAGGGAGGTAGGGACTACGAACTCCCAAACCTCCCAGTAGGTGGTGCTTTTAATCATGTTGGCATCAAACAGCTGATAGAAAGAGTCAAGGCGGTGGTCGTTAAAGGTAAGATATGATACACTGTTTGTTTCATTGTCCGGCCAACTGGCTGCAACTCTCAGTCTAGCGCTGTGATATTGGGCTTTAGGTAGAGATATTTCTGTCATGGCAATATTGCCCTTGACTGGAATAAGTATTGCAGCTCCGTAGTATGTTGTTTCATCGAGTGTGACTCTAGGTAGTTGTTCTGATGGGGTCTTAAATGTAAAATGACAAGTTGCTTCAGGAGGGAGTTCTAGAATTCCTTTTGTCTTCTGGATGTCGAATGTGTTATTGAAGGTGATGACTGGGTACCAGTTGTCCTTGATGGTGACACAGGTAGCTTCTCCTGTAGTTGGTTTGATCCAGTCGTCTTTAAAATCTAGCCTGACATTCTGTGACTTCTGAGAATAACTATGTAAGAGAATGACCGTTTCGTTATTCCGTGTACTTGACATTGCTAACGGTGAAACGATTCGTTCTTCTCCATCATACTGGCTGGTAGTTCTGATAAAGGAGTAATCGGAGGTGAATTTGTACCAAAACTCGTATACGTCGGTGACACTGTTGGGTTGTCCTCCGCGAGTGAAAAGTGACCAATTGTTATATGGATATTGTACTTGGGCTAAAAGAAACACCACTGATCTGTCAATGTATTCCCGGAGACCTAGCTGAGTGAATCGGTGGGCATTAGAGTGGTAAATTGTTGCAAAATCCACTATTGGTGATGGATCAGTTTTGCTAATTCCTTCCACAATGCCACGACCATATTCACTGATAACAAGCGGTAAAAGCTTCCCTGTCTTCAGATAGGCATAACTTTCAACCAGGTCGACAAATGCTACCAATCGTGCTTCATTCATCCCAGTAAACTTGTGAGATTTTCCAGAAACAATAAGAGCGTTGTATGAATGAAAGGAAAACACGTCTATATAGCCTCGAGTAATGTCCATGAAATTTGCCACTGATTTCCAATGGGTAAAGTTGTTTTGATCTGAATTTCTGGCAAAACCGTCAAGTGTAGGACCAGCAACCTTCATGTTGAACCTTGAATGGATCTTCTCCGCAACTAGTTTGTGGAATAGAGCAGCAGTCGTTAAATTCAAGATCTTATATTTGGGGTCGGGTTCATTTATAGGTTCAATGTAGGGTGGGATCCGACCGTTGGTGAAGTCGTAAATTCCTTGCACCATCAACATCATGAACTCTGCAGCAGCATCGATGTTGTTTGGGAACTGACCTGCATGTTCAGACTGGTTCAGCCAACTCGGGTAAATACTCAGACCTGTAAATGGCATGAACAAACACATGAAGAAAGGTTTTTTAAAGAGATTAGAATAAATGTTTTTGAATGCTTTTAATTTTCAGTGCTGCATCTGTTCATGGCTTGATGCTGAGAATGTATGTCCTTATTAAGAAACAATGATCACGGTCAAAATCACGGTTACATCTGAGTTTTTCTCCTGAATCACGTTTCTCGTATTGGACAAAAAAATATCATTATCAAGCAGCGTAGGTCTCATATCGATTCATGTTTTGAAAGGCATTTAATTTTATAGGCAATATATGTTATCAATATGTTTTTTGCAGTAGCCTTACTATGTAACGTACATTATAAATAAATTATGAGGAAGATATTGGTTTGATGTTTTGATTTTAAATAAAAGGGTTATGAACAAAGTAAAAATCCAGGATTTTGACAACTAACTAAATGTATGCTAATCTATTGCACATGTAAACCTAAATATTAGGTTGCAGGACACATAAAGACGGATTTATTAGGTGCGGAACCTTAACAGCTGAAAACTTGCCAACACATGCTTAATTATTCATTCTCAGCAAAGATAAAGAACTCTATAAAATATTGTGAATCTTGCGTATTGGATGTTTACAACATTTTATTGTTTATCATCATCTCAGTACATAGATAATATTAAATATAGTCTTACCTTCAGACATCATGATCATATCGTTCTCATAACCACTGTTAATGTTGTCAAGATACAAGGAAAACAGTTCCTTCTGTTTGGTGGCATTCTTCAGGTAGCTGGGATCTGGGTAGCCGCTCCGGTTTGGGTCCTCAGGCCACTGAAAAATGAAGTTTTATTCCATCATGTAAACGTTCTGTGAGGAACATGATGGGCCTTCCGATTTGAAAGTGTTATTATTGTCAAGTGGTGGTGAGTGGTTTTCTGCATAGAACCCAGGTTACAAATCAGTTGAAGTTAAGCAACGTTGGTCCTGTAGAGTCCTTGGATGGTGACCGTGTTTGGCAGCTAGACTCCTGGGCCTGGATCTTCGAAGCTCTCTTAGTGCAAAGACAGTCGTAAGTTAATGTTAAGGTATGGCACTTACGACTATCGTAGCGCTAAGAGAGCTTCGAAAATCTAGGCCCTGGTAGTTTCTGGGACTTCATTCCTGCCCCACAACGAAGCACACATGTGGTCTCACCTTAGGCAAGTGAGTTTGTTCAAACTTGCCTCTGTCTACACAGCACTGAAAGGGTACCGGTAGGGTAAGTCATATGACTATTAGTGTCGTAATAATATGCTTTCTAGCGCCCCACAGGCAGCTTGGGTTATCCGGGGTAATAATGTCAGTTATATTGTATGCGCTTAGAGCATGCCCAGGTGTTGTGGAGTTCAGCGCCATATAACTGGTCTTATAAAATAGCAGTCTAGTTCGACGAATACACAAACGGCTTAGATGACGCCATTTCGGAATTGTATGACGTCATACGCTTCCATGAGGAAAACAACCCAGTACTTCTGACAAGGGAATAAACGCAATAAAACATGAATACTGTATTCCCGTTCGTATGTGCAATGCCTTGCTTTCCAAACATGGAATGTTATACCTATTAACTAATTGAACCATAACCCAGGAGGTCGGATTTCAAATACAATCTAACAACATTTTATAACCTGTTATATAGCAGCACATGCCCCTATTTCCAATATATATATCATGCCATTGAAGGAGCTGAAATCATACGATGTCACACTCATTCCTACGTGCAGTAGTTGTAAAGAGAATTGCAATTGTTGACATGTAACAACGCTCCTTGGATAGATGTTGACAACTAAAGATGCCTTTATAATAGAAAACATATTGTTGGAGACATTCTGAGAAATCATGAAGTTGTTCGTAAGGTTGATGAATCTGATTTATATCTAACTGATAGATCCTCATGTTCATGGAAGGAATAGCAATTTGAAACGACTAGAATCCATCACAGATTAACCAACACTGAACTGTCAACATGTTTGGGTGCAATATCCCTGTGAAAACAAGTTATTGCTGAGAGAGCAACATGAGGAGTGATAGCTAAGTATCTAGTATTACGTAAGAGATGGTCTCACATCTGCGAAGAGCTGATACTGAAGACCGTTGTTATTCCAGCGCCCAGCGTCAGTCCGAAGGTTCCGACATTTGGGAATAATATCCTCATGATCCAGGCTATTGTGCTTGTTCCACCTATTGCTGTCGTAGCGAGCACTACCTCCCTGTGCCAGCCACTGAGGGTGGATCGTCACCGTCATGTCACTGTACACACCTACGACTGCCAGGCTCAAAGTGAAACAGACCAGAGTCGATTTCATTTCCTGTGAAATATGAAGTTGACCTTGACACGGACTCAAAAACCGCTTTTACATGTGTGGGATCCTAACATCTCCGTTATCATCATCGTTATCACTTTTCTTAATGGACCGGGCAATAATATGATGGCAATATGTAAGTACATACATTTGTCTGAGTGAGTGAGTGAGTTAGTTAATATTTAACGTCACATCGGCAATATTTCAGCCATATCGTGACGAAAACAATTTATACAATACAAAAATGAAACGATGGACGTGACAGTAAAGATGTGGCCGAGATGATTTTATATTTGTTTTGTAAATATTTTAGAAATATGTTTGGGGCCATTAAGTGTCTGTACAAGCTATAACACTTACACAGTGTACAGAAAGTAACAATAGATTTACCCCAGCAATTATATAACTCTTAACTTCACCATAGCCACTGTCACTCTAATGACAAGCGCATTGCATTGTCTGCCTTGTCCCATATCCTTATTATGTAAGTCTCCTTGCCTATAGCTACAGTTCAACTTTACTTCATCAAGCAGTTGTCAGTTACTACTCTTACAAGTCAGAGGTCTTACACCTGTAATGCTGAGCAAATAGTTTGGCTTTTTGTGAACCGAGTGGCTGTGGACCTCACTTGTTATGTATATATAAGGTCAGTTTGTGTTTTGCTTTCATATTTATGTATTTATAGATATGTCTGTATAGTTGTATATGAATTAAATGCATTAAGTTAATGAATTTATAAGATATATTTCTCTGTTGAACCAACAAATTAACTTGCCATTGAGTGTGTGTTATTGACTAGTAGTTCATAATTAGTATATAAGTATATTGAAATGTTCAGATATTCTACCAGCTTTGAAGGTAATATAATTTCTCTTTTGATCCATGAACTTATGTCCTATATTTTTATTGCCATTTTTCCTCGTTGCTCATCGTTGTCACATTTGTAGAATATCCCGATTGGACACTGCCAGCTTAATAAGCTGCCAGCTCATTGCCACACAGTGGTAAGTCAGGTGTATATATTGACTATATATCTTGACAATTTGTGGCGACAGTAATGTGTCGGCCTCCTAAGTATACATTGTAATCTGCACTAGTTAATCTTTTCAGTTTACCTGTATCTACTGTTCCCTTTGTATATTATTCATGTATGATTCATAGATGTAATGTGATATGGCTGGTGTAATTAATTTATCAGATATTTTAATAGTATTTTTATATAATATTTACAGAGCTGGAAACTGATTAGTAAACTTTGTTTACACAATAAAGAGATTGCTGTCGGCTCACAACCCAGTAGCTGTTCTGCGTTATTTTTCCAACTGGAACCTCGTCCGCTACTACACAAATACTAGAGTATCACAGATATGAGCTTAAAACTAGCATGTAAAACTAAAACAGTGTAATTAAATCAGACAATACAATATAAAGCACGGGCTATAGATCGCAAGACAGTTGTCTGAGGGGCGGTGGGGTAGCCTAGTTCGATTCCCCACAAGGGCACATTGTGTGAAGCCGTGATATTGCTGGAATATTGCTACAGGTGACATAAAACTAAACCTCACTCACTAACTCACATACAGCTGTTCAGGTACCCGTGTATATATAACTAGACACATGACGATGTGTTTACAAATGAGTATGTCACAAATATAAGTAAGTATTGACATCGGGACTCTCCAGAAGTTAAATAGAGTATTTGTCTCTCATGTACTACATATAGAGGCCATATTTGATTCAGAGTGCGATTAATGGCAATATATATACGCTTTCACAGTACACCTGGAGTAGTCTTATCCCTATAACAAATATCTAATATTGTGTTGGTCCACGTCGTTGTGTTCGTCCAACTTCTAAAGGCAAACATTGTACCGAACATGATTCCCACCAAAAGGCAAAAAATTGTGTCAGTGCAACCCTTATTTGTGAAACTGTTACACAGAAAGATAAGGGAATTGTTGGAGACCAACTTTTGACACTCCCAGAATGACCTGTCACGAATCATTTATTAAAATCAAAACATAAGTACAACAAGTGTATGCAAAAGAGAAAAGCAAAGTTTGTGCTTTTGGGTCCCAAGTAGTTCCAAATATTGTCTTTCCATACTACCAACTGTCTGTCGATTATCATATTTTCATGCAAATGCCTGGAAAGGTCGGAATGCAAGTCGAGCTGTTAATTCTAATCATCTGCTATGTACGTAAACATGTACCTCACATTCGTAGGCCAACAAAGATGTTTATACTCACAATAAGCATGATTCAAATTCACCTGGCTATCAACACACCATCTGTTCCCAGATTCGGTCAGTACTTATTACCTTTGTGGAGGCCACTTTTATACATTGCTCTGATATTCTTATCGTACGTTATCCGAGAAAGGAATTTCCACTGCATTCTTAAGGACCAGAATGTCGTACTGCTTCATTTTCGAATTGCTTAATTTCTGTAAATACCTCCTTTAAAAGAATTCCTAAATGTGGTTTTCAAAATGTTCTTTCTTTCTTTTTTTAAAAGAAATTGATTTAATGAATGAATTTTGATTAATATGTTCTGTACATATATGTATTTTAATTATTGGTAGATTTGATTAGTAACTTAGATTGTGAGTGGCAGTGCCCTCAAAGGGGGTTGAAGTAGCGTAAAATTATTGTCCTCCTGAGAGGGTACGTAAGTCCCAAAACATTCAAAGTAAATTTAAACCTACTACTCTTTAATCGTAGAATATATGTTCCTTTAATTTATGGCTAGATTATCTAACATTGCTAATAGTTGAGGGGATGGTGTAAATCCAGCTTAGGTCCATGCAGGAAGCCAATGTACTGTAAGTCCCCATGGTCCCTAGTATGGTGATCTACCTTCAGTTGTTGGCAATATATAGCCGTTTTTTACCTTGTATTGTCCTAAAGTTAGACTGTTTTAGATTTGATTGCTAGTTTTAAATTCGAATCGGTGATAATCTAGTTATTTTACTGTCCTTCGTTGACAGGTTTTTATAGTTTGCCATTGCTTATTATGCATACAATTAATTGTTCTCGTCACGATATGGCTGAAATATTGCCGATGTGACGTTAAATTTTAACTCACTCACTCACTCTTTCTTTCTTTAAAGTCACTCTTTCTTTCTTTAAAGATAATGTGTGTTTGTGAGGTGTAAGTTTGTAAACAGTTGTCAGTGTATATTAGCATAGACATTATCCTACAAAGACGACATTATATGGCGTCAAACTTTTCTATCTTTGCAGTGTTTAATCTGTTTAAGCTTACACAAACATGATTCAGAAAGCTTAAAATAGATTGAAAATTCTATATATCATCATTGTAACTGCGTTTTCATATCTGCTGTATGAGGTCGGGAAATATGTCATTGTCCTACATTTTATGTCAGGTCGGTGGCTAAAGTACGTGGGCATATATTTCTGACGACACGAAACGTTTTGGAAATATTCTGTTTTCCTTTCTTAATACTGATGAATTGGAATGTTTGTGCAATAGTGCAGGGTCACATAGTTCGTAGAATTACTGCATGAAATAAATATATACCATTAAATTATCACCATTATGACTTTTAAAAGTTGACCTCACAGTCACGTTTTACCATAACACGGGCTCTCAATATAATGTGTTATATATATGATTTAAAAGATTCAAATAAATACGATGCATACATTTATGCAAGTCCATGTCAGTTACACATCACTACCAACTGCGATTGTTAGCGGCTGTGCCCTCAAAGGGATTTGAAGTAGTGTAAAATTGTTGTCCTCCAAAGAGGGTACGTAAGTCGCAAAAACTTTAAGGTCAATTAAGCTCTACCAAACTTTTAATCGTAGAATGTTGTTGTTTTTAATGATGGCTGAAACTCGGCACAATCGCCAGCGGCTGAAGGGATGGTGTAAATCCAGCAAAAGTACTGTAAGTCCCCATGGACCCTAGTATGGTGATCTACCTTCCGTTGTCGGTGATCTATAGCCCGTTTTTATTTTGCATCGTCTATAGTGATTTAATGTTACGATAGCGTACTTGTTTTAAATTTATATCTGTGATACTCTAGTATTTTTTACTGTCCTTCCTTGACAGTTTTTTTTTTAATTTACCTTTGGTTATTATTAAGCTATAACTTGATTAAGTCACGATATGGCTGAAACATTGCCAAAGTGACTTTAACTTTTAACTCACTCACTCAGTTACACATCCTTTGTGTTACATATGTTTGTTTTTTGTGTTCTTTATCCTTCAATCAGTTTGACACTGGTCCCTAACAGCATATGAAATTGAAATAAATTAACAACTGTATATGTATAGATTCTGTCTTTTTATTTATCACTTATCTCTGAGTTTATCGCCATCGTACCAGTGAAACTATGAAAGTTGCAGGTAATACCAATGGCTGGATTGTCTTGTGAGTTTTGGCAGTTGCCATACAGGTGGAATATTTCCGATTCTGGTTTTCAACAACTACCAGATCAGACAAAGCAAGTCTATATCCCGAGATTAAACCAAATGATCATGAAACTTGAATCACCTTTGCACACACGCAAACATACTTTGCATAACATTTAACAGTTCATTCAGTTCCTATGATGTCATAGCTTTCATTGACGTACAGTATAAATCTTTTCCCTTTCTCCGAATTTGTTTGCATCACAGTCACGCATCACAAGACGAAAATCGAGAGCACTCTAATATCAGATTCCGAAACTTGTGAAAGCACAAATTTGTGAAGATTAGGCTGAAGACTGAATGACTGTAACATATGAAGTCGGAATGGAGAAGGACTGTATAAACGTGCAACGTATGCCGATTCTAAAACATTCTGTGAAGGTAACGAGTTTATAGTACTATGTGAATCATTCGTTTGCGATGTAAATGGTTTAGAACTTTATACCACATCTGTAATGATGCTGGCCCTCGGAAAAATGGACTTTATATTGGAGGAGTTACAGTTCGTAAAGTAACACCTCATTAAACATAACACTGTTGTTACTCGTATATTTCGTCCCGAACAAGACTCGGTTGTTTTAGATTTCACTGTTTAGACTTTATATATAACACATTGTTGTTTTTGTATTTCTCCCCCTCAAAATTCTCATATTTATGATATCATAGACAGTGATGGTATTACACGTCTAGCACATTCTCAGGATGCCACCCTTAACCACTTTAAAAATCATCTACTGATGCGGCTTAAAGCAACAATTAGTTAATTTACCTAATCACATTCTCTAGGCTGGAGATAGCAACGCATGCATGAATGACTTCTTACAAGATATTCTTACTTATATTCAAGATGGATGCGTGAACTATCAAGTTGATAATTAAAATTTATCAAGAAAAAAAGATATCATAAGATTTGAAAGGCTGTAAAAGTGGCAAACTGATGTTACACTTACAGTATTTATGCCGTTAATGGAAGACTGTTTCATGATGTGGACGGTTATTTCACTTGTATGCCACAAGTCACGATGAAATATTGTCGATGTGACTATAAATCTTAACTCACTCACTCACTCGCAAACTGGAAGAAGTGTTGTGAACTAAATGCTTGCCTCTACTTGTATATTCCAATGATTCACGGATCTTATCATTCTTGAAAGGGATGATTCCTACCATTGACCACTTGCCTGCACCTTAACTCCAGAAAACTTTATGACCACGCGTTCAAATGTGCAACCAGTCAATGATATTCCCATGAGACAACATAGACCTTTGGAGAATAACTGTGAAATAAATGCTAGCATGAATGTAAACTTGAGTAAAAGTATAATAATGGGATTCTGTAAGGGTGTATAACTTCGTCAGTAATACTAGGAGGGCGGGGGCGGAGGGAAACTAGATGCTGTTAACTTCTACAGGAATGTGGGTGTTACACTTTCTTTGACCAAGGCATTCTGGTCTTATGGCACAAGCTCAGAAGGCATGTATGTTATTACATAACTATCAAAAGAAATTAGGAGCCATCTCATGTACAGATACGTATGTATTCAATCTTTGATGTGGCTATTGTACATATACTCTGTTATGGGTCTGATATTTGAGTACAGTCCATTGTAAATTCATTGAAAATGTTCACGCGTATTTTTGTAAAAGGTTTCATAAGCGGGAAGAACGACATTATGTGAGGTAACACACAAGCTTTAGGTTTGGCGGATATTTGTACACGCACAAATGAGCTTCTACCTGATCAAGTGTACTGTGTTCAATGACCCCCTGAGAATGCTGATTTCAATGTGCGAGGCGTTGAACACACAAAAGGCCTAGACTACACAGTACCCGTCAAGCACATGTTTGCTGTTCATATAAGCATGTTATAATAATGTTAACTTTCTTAGTGAAAAAGATAATAGGTACTTGGCACGTGCAGGGAGGTCAAACCTCATACAATATGCCCAGTTTGCCCATAAAGGATGCACGTATATTGGAAAAAAGCACTTTATGTTTATCAGGTAAATATCAGACTTTTGTGTGATCAGGGCGACGCTCGTACTCAACGCAAATTAGTCTTAGTCTTATTACATTTTTGAAATATCAGATTGACAAAACGTTATAAATGTTGAACTTGTTTAATTATGTCAGTTATATCTTGGATTGAGCAGTCACCAATATTGTGACTTACAATCCAAGGCTGTGGACAAGGGCAATGACATGCAGGCTCAAGTAACATGTACACCCAGGGTTCCGATTCACAAAGCATTCGTAACCTTACGACCTACCGTAACTCCATAGTTCAGCATAGGCATACAAATGTCGTAGTGCTACGAACGCTTTGTGGATAGGGACCCAGGACAATACTTGTTGTTATGTTTAGTTAGTGAGTGAGTTAATATTGAACGTCACATCGGCACTATCTCAGTGTTGTTATGTTTAAATAAGAGTGACTAGAAACACCTTTTACAAAATTTATTCCAAGATGTCAAATCTAAAGTAATTTCTCTGAATGAGGATTATCATCAGGACTCCAAATCAGAAAGGACAAGCTTGCCTGTGACAAGAGCAACTGAAGAAACATATCCCGTTGTCATGCTGCTTGATAAGTGAACCTGTACCTGGTTAGCCCCTGTGACAAACAATGAGGTAGGAACTGCAAACTCCCAAACCTCCCAACTGGTGGTGCTGTTATACTTGTCAGAATCATACAGTTTGTAAAACGTGTCAAGACGGTGGTGGTTAAAGGCAAGATACGATACACTGTTCGTAACATTGATCGGCCAACTGGTTGAAACTCTCATTCTTGCACTGTAATACTGGCCTTTCGGTAGATATATTTCTGTCAAAGCCACGTTGCCCTTTACTGGTATAAGTGTTTCA